GAATGGTCAAATCTCATTTGGGGAGTTATATTTCGAAAATTGTGATGTTCATTACCTTTAAATTGCTATGTTCATTACCTTCAAATCTCATTCTGCCTTCCCGTGGGAATTTTTGCATGAAACTTGGTAGAAATATTGTTCACACATGGAAGATTTAGTGTACCAATTTTGGTGTATTTCTAATGCCAAATTGATGGCCAAATGATATTTTCAAGATAGTATTTGAATCTGAAAAATGACTGAACAGTTTGCGAAATGTGATCAACTTTGGACTGATGTCTCTCGATACTCAAAACTCTGATTCTTGTTCTGCCTGTTGTGTTTTAAACTTTGATTGTAACTCTAATTGAGTTCCAAATTTTAGAGACTAGTTCGCATTATGTGAATTTCCAAACTTTGCCGAAGATCAACCCAAAACTATCTTAATGGTCCAAAACAGCCACTTTGGGCCAACTTTCGAATGCCTTCCATTTGGAATCATGGAAAAGTGTATTCTAGGAACTTTTACCACTTTGGAAGAAGTTTCCAACGGTACCAAGTTTTCCAATTTTGGACTTGTAATGAATGAGATACGATTTTTCAAAGATCTCGTATCAAAACTGAAATTTTCGAAAGTTAAGGAAATGAAGTTTTTCAAATTCTCTTTTTTTCCCTCGATATCACTTGAACGTTTTACACTTGATTTCAAAGATGAAAACTTGATTTCTCTTGTGCTTTAAAAACCCCACTTTTGAGCCTTGATTCGCGAGTAATTTAGGCTCGCTTTCGTGAGATTTTCTTGGATTGTACAAGCGTACAACCATTCGTGATAATTCGGGTATATAAATGATAGTTCACTATTAATTGCTCAGGCTCGCACGAGGACTTTCAAGAGGATTCCACGGTGGACGCCTGAACGTCAAGTGACATTTCTTCTTTGTTTATTTGGTAAGTGTCAAGTATGTGTTAAATGCTCATGTGATTGAGATTTAGTTGTACAAGTGTTATACATGATACGTAAACTTGTCGAGTGTACTTTATCACATTCGTTCTCATTTGAAATAAATGACTCATGTTTGACCTGACTTGTTTGACCTAACTTGACTTGCTTGACCTGACCTGACTTGCTTGACCTGACTTGACTTACTTGACCTGACCTAACTTGCTTAACCTGACATGACTTGACCTGATTGGAAAATATGCTATGGCTGCATAAGTCGATTGGAGCGATGTCTCATCGACCTCTAAACGATAGCAAGTACCACACCGATTTGGTGGGAGGTACCTCTCGAATCGTCTCAGACCTATTAACAGAACGATTGTAAGTACCGGGTGGGAGGTACCTGTCGAATCGTCTCAGTACCCTAGACCTCTGAACGATAGCAAGTACCAGACCGATCCGGGTGGGAGGTATCTCTCGAATCGTCTCAGAACCCTAAAGCATTCTAAGTCGATTGGAGCGATATCTCATCGACCTCTGGACGATAGTAAGTACCACACCGATTTGGTGGGAGGTACCTCTAGAATCGTCTCAGAACTATAAACTGAACGATAGTAAGTACCACACCGTTTTGGGTGGGAGGTACCTCTCGAGTCGTCTTAGAAATATACATGGAATACGTGAAGGGCTACGAACTCAATTACCTACCCGGGGAACGGGGTGTCGTCATGGGAAGGTATTAAAATTGAATTTGGGCAAAGTAAGAAATCATTAGCTCCGGAGAGCTTCTGCATCCTACTCAAGGGGTTTATTATGAATTGTGAAATTCCTTGAATGTTATAGCTTTCACTATTGTGTAAGTGCTATTATTATTGAATTACTTGTCTTGCATGTTTTCTTGGCCTCACGAGCATCCGCTCACCCCCCGTTAGACTTGCTTCTTTAACAGGAGCTGAAATGGAAGGAATTATGGAGGTCGACTTGATGGCCTTTTTATTAGAATTTTGAATGTATTCATTTAGTCAACTTTTGGAAACTGTATATTTTGGGATTGTAGATATTTTGGTAACTTATAATGTAAGACTTGAACGATTATTAAGGAATTGAGCTTCCTTTATATTTTCAACTTTTAGTACTGATTGGTTATTCTTAAATTTGAATTGAATTTGTACCGAGTCCTGGCGAGAGTTGGGCTGGCGTCCCACAGATACCCTTGGGTTCGCCCTTGGAGAAGTGGGGCGTCATAGAAAGCCAGCATTTGACATAGAAAATACAACTTCAATCCAGGTTATCAACAGTACTTGTACTGGTTACCCACATCAGGACCTTGCCCAAACACCTGCCTAGAATCGTGGCTGGTCCAGAAGACCTCCAAAAGTTGTTTAAAAGTAATTCCCTTAGGATCATATTCAATCTGCACAGAATCGATTTCAATATAGAAAACAAGTGTAGAAATAATTGAATGTCTACTAAAGAGCATATTTTGGTAGTTGGTAATTGCAATAGTATCTGACTTGGGAGTACATTTCCATTTTTCTCTGTAGTGAGACTAGCATGTTATGTCAATGTGTTCATAAACTTTCATATTTCTAAACTTTTAATTTGGATGTCTTTTTGCTATTGAAGCTATCATAGATTAGATTAGGCAAATGGTTTCCACCTTTCGGCTAATTCAGGTCACAAGCAAAATCTTGGTAGGATAAACATTACATTAGCCCCACAGAAGACTATAATAATGATCTGTTTCAAGCGCTCAAAACAGCTAACTATGTCAAGAACCCAAACAAATGAGTGATGACTTCATAACAAATTAAACTGCAACAATAGGTTTGTTACAAGCATTTAGTTCACAAAACGAAGTACCACTCTTCCACTCTCACTCAGTGTTGTGGACAACTAAAGAAATCCAGCTGAAAGGTAACCAGTGCAAAGTTGATGGGATGACTGAAACCTATTGTTGCAAGTCCATTAGCAATAACCTCATGCACCGGTCATGTTACAGAATCTCCAAGGCCTTTTCGACGCAAACAGAACGATGACAGTCAAAAACTAAGTTGCATAGACTAGCTAAAAACAATTCAAGATCTTTACACTTGTATTCCCCATATCCCGCAAAACATAGGAAATACTTCCTAGTTTTGCTTCATTAAGACTCATTGGCAATAAAAGTAGTTGACTAATTCTCCATGATCTGCCTAGAGTAACGATAGTTCATAGGAACAATCAATATTCACCATTTTCCTCTCCCAACTAATTTTGTTAATCACAAAAAAAGAACATCCCCGGTACTTATCTTCAATCAATCAACATTAGAGCCTTCTCAGGCACAACAACCGAGTTTGAGAATTAGCCATAAACAACTAAAAACAAAATCTTGACAAGTCCTCAAATTTCAAACAAGATCTAATTGTCCAACCTTTTACCAATTAGCAAAACCAAAAGACTTAAACCAGTAATAAAATGTAAATCAATAGGCTGCAGAAAGAAGGAACGTAGGAGGTGACCTGAACAGATTCAGCGTGATCACCTAAGCTCCGATACTCGGGATTGGCTTTCGATCCACCGGCATAGCCAACAGTCGTACGCACAACCCCATCCAAGCAGCCAAACACCGCCTCTGATCTCCAGAAGCTTCTAGAGCAAAAACCGCTGTTGGTAGCTGCTGTTGATTGGCTGTGTCTGTAATTGAACTCTCCGATATCCGGGCGGAGAATCTAATGCCCACACATAAATCTGCTGCCAATACAATGATTATGGGTAAATAGCACGTAAGGCGCGTGGCCACCTTCATTGGGCTCGGAGTTGAATGATGCCGACGGCCAGAATGATCCGGTTGGGCCGCTGGAATTTCATTATAATGCTCGACGAAGTCGAGTCCGGTTTCTCCAAAATTCATCTGGCTGTGATCGGGTCAATCCGATTCGAATCCGCATGTCCATTGTAAATATATTATCTCATATAATCTCATTATAAATATATTATCAAACAGCTCCGTTTGGATTAGCTGTTTTTGGGGTGTTTTTGAAAAACTTTACTGTAGCAGTGTATATGAAAAATTTTTACTATAAATTTTTTTTGAAGTATTTGATATATTGTATGGATGAGATGCTTTTTGAGTTATTGTATATTACTGTAGCATTGTATTTGAAAACTTGTTTTTGAAAAACATGTCAATCCAAACGATATATTTCTCCAGTTAATGCACGAATAATTCATGGTTTTCCAGTAGTATTTTTTTCCTCTGTTTTTTATGTTCAAGAGAAAATTACTAATTCACCCACCCAAAAAGTTGGGGAGAATGATGATATCTGCTTTCCATCAAAAGAGGATTTCTTAGGCTCCGGTTACGAATTAGTACAATAGAGCTTGTTTAGACACCCCTGGTTTTTTTTGAAATTTTTTTTTTGATTGATGTAAAGTAAATGTAGATCCCTCCTTGTGTTGAATTTCATTTGTCCACAAATTTCAAGTAAATTCCTTTAAGAGTAGGACCAAAGAAATAATTCCTATGCTTGGATAGGGTATTGTTTGGCACAATATTTTTTAAAAAAATATTATAATACTTTTTTGATGTACAAAATGTGCTTATAATGCAATCAATATAATTTTACAAATAAACCACTATTCAAACACATTTAAATAAGTTTTTGTTTTTGAACAAAAATTCGCCTAGACTGTTAACATATTATTGTCTTGAATTTGCTAAGCCCCCCCTAGAGTACCTAGACTGAACTACATCACAAACAAGAAACAAATAGAAAAGATCACATAAATATATTGGAATCATAGTTGTTCTCAATGTTGATACACACTTTACTTATTCAAACAAAACCCAGAAAAATTAGATGCCTACAATCAAAGTAATCAAGCCACATTTAGTTTTGGCCTACAAAAAAGTACAGTAAATGTTAACTGTTGGTATCAAAAAAAAAAAGGAACTAAATCGAAAAGACCAATTTGGTGTTGCTCCTCATCAGTCTCCTTGAGTTGGTTATGTGAATCATCATTGGCTTTAAACTATCCAAAAATGGTTGTTTCGAGGAACCATGAAGTTACTAGCACAGTTGTTCTCATCCTTGTTTTAAGTTGTGAGGAGAAGGTATACAAGACCTTTCAAATACTCAACTATTTCAGATCCTCCAAGCTTTGAACTCCCATACACTCTATCGACAAAAGTAATTGGAACCTGTGAAGACATAAAATCGAATTCAAATATCTCCATTAACACAATAAAACACAGAGGAGATGCAAACCAACGAAAGAGCCAAAACTAAGAAGAAATAGTTCATCAGAGATCTTAAAACCGAATGACTAAATGTCATATGTAGTTAGAAGCTATAGATATTTGCCAAGAAGAAGATAATCAACCCAATAAACCTAAAAGACCAAATGATAAGCAACAAAAGTACCTCAGCAATGTTGTAACCTTTTCGTGTAGCACGAACAATCATCTCCATCTGAAAAACATATCCTTTACTCACGCATGAGCTTATAACATCTTGAAGCACGGATTTCCTATAAAGCCTTTAGGCAAAATAACAGTTATTAGCTAAGGAAGTGGAAGCTTAGGCAGAAGCAACTACAGCATTTGGTATTGGTTTACCGGAAAGATCCAGTTAGGTCTGATACACCAGGCCAAAGGAGTGTCTGCGCAAGGACATTTGCTCCCCTGCTTGTCAATTTGCGCATGAGATTCCAACCATGCACACCACCTCCTTTGACATATCGTGTTCCAGTAACTATATCTGCACCCGTCTCCATCTGCTTCCTAAACATCAAAACATATTCAGCTAATATACTTCTAAAACTTGGTAAAATTAAATAAAATTCTAATACTTGAGTTGAAAGGTTCTTACCTGATGAAGTTTGGAAGATATTTTGGCTGTAAAGTAAGAAAAAGAGATGCATTAGATAACAAGTGAAGTAACATATAAGCTAAATGAACACCAATAATAGTTCCGCTGATATATAGGCTAAATGAACATCAATAATAATTCGAGCGGAAGCAAAAAAAATAGATAAAACACATGCCTGCAGAAAACCTCAAGCACTCACACATTTAATCCAAAAGCGATGCAATACAAAAACTAAAATTGACCCATGTAGTCTCACTGTGCTCAAAGGCCCTAATTCAACAAAATAACTTTCTGTTAGAACTCAGTTTTCCAGTTTGTTAAACACTGCTGCATATGATCTTCTTAACTTATCAAACTTACACCCAAGGTAAAAGACCAGTATCAAAGCAGCTAAAACTATTATGATTACTAAATGCACTGTAAAAGAGACAGCTCACCAAAAGTATATTAGAAATGGAAATACACTTCAGATCTCCCAATCATTTCGTAATCTTCCACCAACCTCAAGCTCAACCCAGAATAAGCAGCTTTCCCCCCTTGTTCACGCCAAATCCTAAGAAAGCGAGGAAAAAAATGTGTTTCCTTTTTTTCCCCTCCCTTCCTCTTTTTCTTTTTGGAGGCACAAAAATTGGGTGAGGAATATTTTTTTTTGTTTTCAGTGGCGGCTTTTGGGTTTTTTTTTTTTTTTGGTTTTGGTTGGGGGGAGGAGGGTTTGATAGAGCGTCATCCTCATCATTCTAATGAGTAGGAGTGCACTTACATGGTGTGATAAATCAGCATCCATAATGACCACAAAATTCCTGGAGGCATGCTTCAGGCCATGGATGTAAGCGTACCTGAAACTTAACCAAATTAATGATCCCTTTTGCTACTTCAAAAACTTAAACCAAGGCCAGCCAAAGACATACCTAAACCAAGCTTCTAGGTCTAGCCCTCAACAGCTGGATTAGTAGATAGCCTTACATAAGTAGACCTTTCAAAGAGATAAGCATAGGCAAAGCATCAAAACATTGCGAATTAATACAAAGAGGACTTACAATGTGATCCTTCCATAGACAGATTGCAGTTGTTTAACAATTTTGAGTCCATCTGGACTTCCATCATCCACAACAATAATCTCAAAATTGACATTCCTAGCCAGGCAAGGACCAATTGTCAGATACAAGTATAGATCATGAAGAGAATGTTGTTTGTCATTGTTTTAGTGTTACTGTTTTTCACATCTTTAAGTAATATCTATCATCTAATGTCAAACTAAAACCTATGAAGCACAATCTTAAATAGTTAATTTCATACAACAATTTGGTCCATGTTATTCACATATTCAGTTGCAAGTCCAAAGCTTCACCTTCTTACACCTAATGGTTCCCACACCCACTCACAACTATAGAGCTGAATATGCTCACGGCTAATCATCTAGAAGTTTGAGTGGACAAAGACGCAAACTTTTTCACAGCAAATCAGTTTTAATCAGCTTATCCTGGACATATGTATAAGAAAAAGTACACTTAGTTACCAATTACCAATCATGATTGAGAGAAAAAAGTAACCATATAAAATATGTGCCACTGTGTGCATTGCTTATCAATTTTCAAACAATTCTGAAGCTAAGATTTTGATATTTCGCATGATATCTAAATCAAATACCAGAAACACTTCTTTCCAAATTGTCAGTCAATCACACACAAAAGCACAAATAATAATAATAATAATAATAAAATAATGCTATAACAATAATAATACTAATAATAATAAAAAAAGTGAAGAAGTGTTCCTGTGTAACATGGAGATAATTATTTCAGCAGTTGATAGATGATTGTGATGACCAAGTAATAAGCTGTAAGATCACCAAAAACACTTCATTCAAATAAACATAAATAAACCTTTTGATGCATGCAACAAAAAGATTTAGAACGTGAAATGAAAAATTCACAGAATATAAGTGTAAAAGCCAAAAGTGCAATGAAAGAAGCCACTAGACAAACAAAGCAGAGGAAAAGGAACATGCATCATCTGTTTTATACATATATTCACAGAAAAGGAAAAGGAGAACATGCATCATCATGGATAACTTGGTAACGAGAGAGAGACGAGAGAGAGAGAGAGAGAGAGAGAGGGTATGGAGATGCTTGAAGATGAGATAAACAAGGAGAGCAATGTTGAGGCGCTCATTGTAGGTGGGGATGATTATACTATACTTATTGCTATTCTCCTTTTGCTCATTGCCCATATTCTTTCTGCATCAAAATCCCTCCGACCCCTAGAAAATGCAAATTTTTATTGAACTTGGTTAAAGAGAGAGACGGAAGGCAAAAAGTAAAACACTTACAGCTAATGCAAGTTGTAGATAACAGCTGTTAGTATTTCAATTCAAACTAAAGTTCCATCCTATTAGTTTTTTGTTTGTGATAATTCAACCCTCTAATACGTTAAAGAGCTATACCCAACAATTCACTTGTCTCAGACTGAGCTGGAAAAGATCGAGCTCATGTGTTCTTCTCAGCAGCTTACTCCACTTAGGTACTTGATTCCATCAACCAAATTGGATAGCAAAACAAATTTGGTACAGCTTCAAAATGCATGTTTTTCTACGCATAAGATTTTCATTTAGCTCATTCTTCTACTTGTAATTATGCCTCTTCAATTCCTTTTGTGTCAGCTGAATTTCCAAAAGCAGTATAACTATCCTAATTCCTGATCAGTGAGCAATAGCTCTAAAAATTCTTAAAATTTGACAGAATAACAGGACCGATCTGATTGAAAAAAAATTCTTCTTTTAGTATAATATGAAGGAAGCCCATCTTTTCAAGTTCAATTTCAATTAATTCAAGTAAATTACATATTTCATGCTGAGTAAGAGCAGTAAAATACCACTGATGTCCAAGAATATATCCAAAACTTTTCGATACAAGTTGGTAGTTGCTGTAACTACATGAGACTGTTTGAAGGAAGCTCTAACATAAGGTACCCAGAATGTATACAACAGTCACTAACGATTATACAGGGATTCCCATACAAATTCAGCTCTCCATCTAAACTAACTGAAGAAGCGTAATGAAAAGCTGGGAAATTCAATCAGTTTAACAACTTGACTGAAAATCAGAAACGATCTAACCTTAAAGACGGCAACTTTATATGGTTTGGAAGCTTGAATTATGCGCAAATGGCCGACACTTTGAGAAGACAATTATTGTGTTTAGGGCTTTGAATTGGAGTTTGATAATATTAACGAGAGAAGTTCTCTCTTTTTGTTTCTTTCGAAAAACCGAGAAAGCAACTATTGATGAACGAGTGATACCCTCGTGGGAACATGAAAGTCAATCCTTTGTTACCTGTGTTAATGAACTGGGCGGGTTATTTGGGCCTGGTTTTTATCCATTTGGTTATGAGTTTGACCCTTGAGCTAACCTAGTGGTCATTGACAATTAGTGATGGCAATGGGCGGGGGATCCTTTCCCCTCCCCCGTCCCATCCCCCGCCCTTGCCCCCTGCCCCGTTTCCCTCGCGGTCCCCGCGAGCAAAATAAAATCAACTTAACATAAATATTCATTTACAATAATACAATTGTAAATAATGTTAAATAAAATTATAGCTATCAAGATGAAAATAAAGCATAACAAGTCAAGTTACATTTATTCTTGTATTCAACAAATTCAGAAGCCTAGTACATGAAGCAAAAAAAAAAAATCAAAAGCAAGCCTATACGAAAAGTAAAACTCTCCTCGTATGTCCAAGCATTTTTGAGAACTAACAGGAGAGAGGAAGAATTCCCAAACACTAACCAAAAATACCTTGAACAGTTAAAATCCAGAAATAACAAAAGGCAAAGATCAATGGAAAACATAAAAGAGAAAATCAGCAAAATGAGGGAAAAACAAAGCCATGGTTGTTGGAACTGCTTATAAATGATATCATAGGACATGGAAAGAATTCGTGTTCCATTAGGCTCTCGTATTTACATTTTCATTAAGGCTTTTTCACAAACATCTTATATGCACAAGGAAAACAAATTAACCACATATCACTATCCAGAAAGAAAACAATTTTATCCATATGAATCATATGATCACGCTACATGGTTTAAGCCCCATAAATTGTATTTAGGCTTGATTGAATATAGCAGAATTCTCTTATAGATATACTCTTTTAATGTTACTAGCTTACTCATTGTTTTTTGGATCATGTCGAATTGTTAACTTAGAGAGCAATAATTTCTTCAGCTTTGGCATCCAATATTCCATTTTCTTTCACGCTATATTCGTAAAATGAGAGAAGAGTTGGTGAAAAAAAATAGTTTCTTTTTTAATTCTTTGAATAGCTTGAAATAAATTGATATTTTTCTAGTATTTTGCGTAATTATCAGGCTTTTTTGAAAAATTTTCACTTTGACTCATGCGTGACAAGACACTCTTCGATTTGCATAAAATATGTGGCACTGGCACACAATTCATTTAACACCATGAAATCAAGCTGCAAATTCTTGTCGGTATAAAGTTTCGTATTAATTTAGGCACTTATCAGTATTCTAAGTTTGCTAATCAAATAACTATTCATTCAACCAGAAACAGAGACAGAGTCGTTCCTTCCTAATTATCAAACAATTTAAGCGCACAAGGAAAACAAAGACGAAGACATCAGTAAGTGCCGACGAAGATATCAGCTCGATCTGGGATTCTGGGTCGGGTAAAATTTTAGGAGGATTTACGGGTTGGGTAAAATTTTAGGAGGATTTAGACAGAGAGGATGGGTTTAGTTGAGTAGTGATTAGAACTGAGTGGAATGGGAGGCGACGGCAGTGGCTGCGAAGGAGGGAATGAAGGAGTAGCTCAGGGCGATAATTGTGAGAACCTTGAAAAAAATAATAATAATAATAATATATACATATTGCATTTGCATTTTAGACTCT